TAATGTGAAAGAACAGGTGATGATAAGTATTATCTTTATAAGCGCATGTTTTTTTATTATATAAAAAATAATTTTTAAAAATTTATATTTTAATAGGTTATTCATTTTCTGTGACTTTATTTTTAAATATGAGAACACATCGCGAAGTATTCCACTCTCAAAATTTATGTTTTGTAGTCGTCTTCGTAATGTCCGTAAAGACGGAAAAGGCAAGCCTTGTTCAATTATCATTTCATAGCCTGATCTTCCACAAGCAGATTTCAACTGCAGAGCCTTTCTTATCGTATTATTTTGCCATTTTATTTCTCGCGTTGACACGTTTCCGAGGGTTTTCATTCGATCGGGATTGAAAATTAATTTTATGTTTGTACTTTGCGCGTTGACTCTAGACTTTAATTATCTTATCTCTTCTTATAGATCCTTCTTACTTTTCTGCACTCTTTTAACTCTATGTAACGCATTACGCAATTGAGGTTTCAGTTCATTAATCTGTTTTGATTTTGGTGACAGCGGCTGGCTAACAAGATTACTGGGCCGCGTAGATGTCATAAGAGATAAATTTGTAGCATAACCGTGGTCCGAGGTCGGATCTATACGCTCACAATTGTTTCTACGCCCCGTTTTTGGCCCAGAGCATCTCTTAGGCGCGGGTCTGCGAGAAAAAAGTGTAAGCACGGCATCACGCTTCGGCAATCTTCTTCCATCCTTCCTGTGATTCTCGTACTGATCTTTCTCAAAATGAGCCTATGAGAGTTAATTGTAAATATTCACATTTCACTAAACCAATAAACTTATAAAGGCTAAAAATGTATTAACAGACTTAATACACTTTAGCCTTAGTTTATTAATGTGTAATGTACAATTAAATAGGTAGTCAAAGCAGAAGTCCTTTCTCATAAAAATTCTGATTCTTACCTCACAAAGTACTGCGTGTTTTCCAGGAATCCATAATTTCTCATTTTCATCCAGCCTGTTTACTTACATCGCCCATATTTTTTTTTCTAGCTTCACCACTAGGAAATCGATGCAGTTTGAATTTAGGAGCTGTATTCGAGCAATTAACGGCCGAACAACCCGGCATGATTTATTTTTATGCGGTAGCTTTAGATGTATCGGCAGATCTAAAGACTAAAATAATGATTTCTAACCTCAGTATAGCGAAGTAAGAACTAACTCGATGTTTACAATCTACTTTAGATCGAAATTACCTGGTATATAAAGTTTTCAATTATGTTATTTATCGTATTAAATAGCTGATCGACACTCGCTTGTCCTATACGGATCGGAAGCTGGCCTCATAATGGCGTCCATAAAACACGTGACCGGCAGTAGCCAATCATATTTTGACCCCCCCCAGTTGACCATACTCTGGTTATAGAGGGTTCTATTAGTGTAAGAATTTTACACCGCAAATGTCACGTGTAGATCCCATTACTTTATACATTTGTTATTGTACGAGATATTTCAGTTTAGCGCCACACTCGATTATTTATCAATGCAATAGTAAATATTATTAATAATGATCTTCACTATTATTGTATGATGGAGGCCAGTTGTTTATCTCTTAATTAAGAATGGTATGAGAAAGAAAAGTTCAAAATTGTACAAATCTTATCCACATCTTTGCAGCGGAAGTAAAGTAAAAGTGATGCCAGCCACATATAATAACCTAGTCACGTTATTCTGTGAGAAAAGTGGAACAATGTTTACCTAAATCTCTACTTTTTAAAAATTCTTTCCGTCCTGCGGGCATAAAGTGGGCTTTTTTTAGCAAGCCCATTTACCGGGCCTACAATGGGATTTCCGATGGTGGGGAACGGGACTCGACCTATTCAAAAAATTACTGAAGTTTTTCGATGCCGGATCCCCAGAGCGGCAGGCTATCACCATAACTGCTCGGCCATTCGATCGTAAGAAAAGTACAGTACACTTATACTCTGCGAAAATTTCCCGTACACCAAAATAATTGTTCCAAAACATTATGAATTACATAATGCGTGTAGCAGACTACACGCATTGTGTAATTCATAATATTAAAGAATATCCTTGATAAATTATATTGACAACTTATCAATCGCATATCTTGCATTCAACGGACATTCTAAATTAAAATAATCATTAACTGTAACGAATTAAGCCTTGAAAATGAATCCAAGTTGTGCCATGGTTACAGGAATGCAAGCGGGTAATGCTACTACGTATTGCATTTTATGAATTCCGTAGATAATACGAATTATTAGAAGAGTTCCGGACAAACAAACAGACATCAGAATCTTTTATAAACACTAAATTCATATAGAGAAATTATCAGTTTGTTAGTTATATCGTTTACAAGACATTATTAAATAACCTTAATTCCTAATTATTTAATGTGAAAGAACAGGTGATGATAAGTATTATCTTTATAAGCGCATGTTTTTTTATTATATAAAAAATAATTTTTAAAAATTTATATTTTAATAAGATATTTTTCAATGGTTAACGAGTAATAAAAATGCTTTTAGCACCAATTCATAAAAATCATTAATGTAAATTACAATTTCCATTATTAGAATTAGCGTTAGAAATATTGTTAATTGCCATATGTTAATGTAAATTCGTGTACTAACTTCATTCATTCACGAAAATCCTTAATTAAACACAACTTCCTTCTTCACATTTTAATTACGCAACTGTTCCATTAAATTTCAATATTTAGAATGTTTCTCCCGGCCAAATTTCGTTAATTTATTATTGTTTTATTAATACGAAATGCTAGCATGATTCATTAAAATCTATCAACAAGCTGAATTACAAAGAAAATTACTTATAAACAATTATGTAAAAATTACATTAAAAAATAATAATAAAGATACACATAAAAAAGTAACTTTTTTTCCAACAGATGTTTTCTTAAACATCCTTTCCACGTTTATCTAAAAAACGATAACAGAAATCATATCTTTAATAAGGTATTGTGTATAAAAGCCGACTCGACGATCCACTCTTTCACTTACTTCTCGAGTAGATCAAACATGAAGGTGTTGCTAATTCTGTGTACCGTCGCTCTCGCATACGCTTGTAATTACGATTTTTAGCATTTTCCTTCGTATATTTGTCTTCTCGCGTTCAATGTATAACGTTTTCCATTGCAGCCAAACCATCCTGTCGACTAGAACCCGAAACGGGTTTGTGTCGCGCCCGCTTTCCTCGTTTCTACTACGATCCCGAAGATGACACCTGCAAGAAATTCGTCTACGGAGGATGCGGAGGAAACGATAACAACTACGAAACCGAAGAGGAATGTTTAGCGGATTGCAGAGGTAAGAACCACGTTTATTCTTCGAGTGGTCCCGACCCAGTCACACTTTTGGTGTTTTAAATTAAGAAACCGAATATTCTGTGGATTCCGTTGCTTATTGCCACCTGAAGCCGGAACGAGGAATGTGCTTGGCTTACATGCCGCGTTATTATTACAATGCCAAAACGCGTAAATGTGAGAAATTCATCTATGGTGGATGCGGTGGCAACGCCAATAACTTCGAGAGTCGAGAGGCATGCGAAGACAAATGCATCCAGCCAGGTAAATTCTATTGTTTCACATAAATGCACGAAAGTTCTTTTTCTTCTTAACCGTTATTTTTGATTACAGAAGTCGAGTTTGCTGAGGTTCCT